CCTCAACCACCGTCTACCTGGGATGTCTCCCAGGCCCCAGTGAGTCTCCAGCCCAGACCTGCCCTCCCAGCCCCAGACCCATCTGTCCCGGCCCACATTGCCTCCTGGGTTCCAAGCAACCTCAGCCAATGAGTCCAACATCGACTTCCTGTTCTTGCCTGACACTGTAGCCCTGAGGTCAAACTTGACCCTTCACCTCCAGTACCTAATAGGTCCATAAGTCCTTTGGAACATATCCCACGAACATTCCCCAAATCAGGCACTGGACTCCACACATCTCCAACACCATCACGTGAGTCACCAGCATCCCTGCCAGGGACCCCTGTCCCAGCCTCCAACTCATCTCCTTCCTGTCCCTTGAGTTCTGTGTCACGTTCCAGAGGCCACCAAAAGAAACAATGACCACCTTCATGAAATTCAAAGAATTGAGACATTTTCCTATGGTCCAAAGTCTTTCCAACTGAGAAACACACATCAAGATCCAGCCTGCCAGCCCTGTGGTTAAATATTCCTGAAAGAATTAAAGGCCAGGGCAACACGGCTCCCACTCCACAAGTACTCCCAGCACAGTGAGACTTGCTTCTCTGGAGGGGCTTGAAATGTCCAGTGTGTATCCTGCCCCTCTCTGTCACAGCTAACAGGAACGTGCTCCGTGTCTTCTTCCTGCTCAAAGGACCGTCCAACAACCTGTGCAGGCAGCACTTTCGGCCAGGGGAGGATGTGAGAACTTCCCACCATCTCCCACTTATGCACTGCATTCCTCAGGAGCCTGCCTCACAAATTACAAGAGCGCCACGGCAGACACACCGCATTCCAGCGGGTGGCCGTGTCTTCCTGTCAGCTTGAAAGATCGTTGCCAGGGAAATATCTATATCTCGGCAGAGAGAGCTTCAGCCTGTGTAGTCCAGCTGTGCTCAAATGGAAATCCAAAAACCCAGATGTTGGTCCAAACACCCTGTCTTGGGGAGCCGGCTCTGCAAGTCCCCAGCGTGGGAATGAATTGGGTGGGCCACCTGCCCTGCCTGCCCATGTCTCTGCCTCCTGGAATCTTGGACCCTGAGAACCAGGGGGATGTGGTGGGGAACAGGCCAGTCTTGTGCAGAAAGCCAAGATGCCACCCAAATCCACTCTGCAGTCGAGGTGGGTGATACTCTGCTCTGCACCGCACCGGTGCATGAGGGGATGGAGGATGGAGTCTACACAACCCAAATGTAAAAAGATATTGCCCAAGTATTTTGTGCTTTGTCCGTTACAACGCTATGCCCAGCCCAGCACGGTGGCTCACACCTGTAATCTCAGCACTCTGGGAGGCCGAGGTGGGCGGATCACCTTAGGTCAGGAGTTTGAGAAAAGCCTGGCCAACATGGTGAAACCACCTCTCTACTAAAAATGCAAAAATTAGCCAGGCGTGGTGGCAGGCACCTGTAGTCCCAGCTACTTTGGAGGCTGAGGCAGGAGAATCATTTGAGCCCGGTAGGTGGAGGTTGCAGTGAGCGGAGATCATGCCACTACACTCCAGCCTGGGCAACAAGTGAGACTCTATCTTAAAATTAAAAAAAAAAATCAAAAATAAATGCTATGCCCAGCATTTTCCATGTACTGTCTTACTATCTCAGTAAATCCCATATAACCTTCCTATGAAAGTATATCTCATTGATCTCCATTTTATAGATGAGAAAACTGAGACCCCTGGAGTAGTATTAATTTCCCAAGACCGCATTGCTCCTAAAGGGTACAGCAGGGACCCAAAATCAACACTCTCACCCTCAAACGTTTCCACAAGTGTAGACCAATGTCTCTCAACGGGGGTGGTTTTGCTCATGTACCACTCCCTTGCCCCATGGCATCTGAAACTGTCTGGAGACATTTGGGGTAGACGTAACTGGGAGGGGAGAATGGCACCTAGAGGATGGAGACCAGAGATGCTGCTAACCATCCTACAATGCACAGGACAACCCCACCACCGCCACGAATGGTCTGACCCCAAATGTTGTGACTGTGCCAAAGCTGAGAAACCCAGGTTTCTCCCCAGCAAGAAGGGAAAACACCTGCAACATGGACGAACCTCTACAGGAGCCTCAGGCTGACAATAACCTTCCCGATCTGTTTTCAACCCTGGATGCTTTTACCTGGTGCGTCCATCAGGGATTTCAGGGACTCCCATGAGTTATTACCCTTGAATGCTCGGTTCCGCCTGACAACCCAGAAATCTCTGCTGAGGTGCCTGGTCTTGGGGAAGGTGGATTGAATGGTTGAGGTTGATAACCAAATACCTAAGAGAGACTTTTCTGTCCTTCCAGGAAGAGCTGTGGGTCAGACACATCCTGGGATTATTTACAGGGAGTCAATAAAGGCTTGGAGAGGGCCAGGGTTTCTATGCCTTCTCACTGGGGTGGGTGTTTGTGGATACACAAGAAGCCTGTGAAACTTCTGATACTGGCAGGGAATCAACGCCCCTCACCCTCCACCATAAATAGATGCCCTGCAGCAGGCCTGGGCGCTCAGGGACTCCTGGGGTCTCGATTTACCTGCTAAAACACCCTCTAGCCACCACAGAATAAAGCAACCCCTTGCCACCCAACCGCAAGAGCACAGCCTGGGAGCCACTCCAAGGGACACCCAGTCACATTAAAACCTCAGCCATCCAGAGCACCAGGCCTGCTGATGAGAAAGAACATTTTATCCTTAAAAGCATCTGAAAGCCCATGCTGCTTCTTGCAGAGAAAAGTCCAAAATAATCTGCTATTAAAGAACGAGGATGGTTTTGACATTTTTCCCAAGCTAATGGTCTACGCAGACAAAATCTCATAAAACGGCACTCTGTTCTTCTTGATCCACTCAGACATGGCCTATGAGTGAAGCAACGGGCTCTCCTCCTCAAAGAAATCACTGCTGATCCTCACACCAGCCTGACACTGCTTCATGGGTTCTTCAAACAGAGTATTCCCATAGAAACTAAAAAGGAAAAGGAATGTGTCTGGCGAGCATTATGGGCAGTGGGCCAAATTTTAAGTTTGAAACTGAAGATTCCTTCTTTTCGAGGGGCCGCCGGACTGAGCAGATACAGGCACCCTGAAAAGAGGGTACCATATTCAGACTCAGGAAACAAGGACGGTGTCTGTTCAGTTCCTCCATCATCCTTCAGATCACGGGATTCCCATTTCCCTTTGTAGACCAAAAAATTCAGTGGGGTTTCTGCCTTTTAAATATTTCCTTATCAATATATAATCCTTTTAGCCTCCAGAAAACATTTTAACATGGAGATTCTGGCTTAAGACTCTTGTGGGTCTGTCTCTCTCTCTTTTCCTTGAGACAGGGTCTCACTTTGTCAGCCAGGCTGGAGTGCAGTGGCATGATCACAGCTCACTGCAGCCCTACCTTCCAGGCTCTAGCAATCCTCCCACCTCAGCCTCCCCAGTAGCTGGGACTACAGACACACACCACCATACCTGGCTTTGTTTGGTTTTTTTTGTTTGTTTTTTTGTTTTTTTTGTTTTTTTGGTAGAGATGAGGCTTCACCACTTGCCAGTTGCCCAGGCTGGTCTCAAACTCCTGGGCTCAAGCGATCCTCCCCACTCGGCCTCTCAAAGTGCTAGGATTACTCACTGTCACTTCACTGCATTCTGATATCCTGGTCTTTGGCAGAGTCCACGTAAAAGAGGGAGGTAGAGGGAGTGACAAGGACTTCACGCAATAAAGTTTCCCAGTGTTACACTACCATTGTAACTGTGTCCCGGACCAGGACCTCTCCCTTCTCATCCTTTCCGTGATGGGTCCTGGAAAACCTTCCAGAGAACTGTCCTTCTCCGGGGATCTCAAACAAAATTCACCTGAGTTCAGTGTCCAGGTGACCCAAGCTCTGAATGCAGTAACGTGCACGGGGAGATAAGGATGTCACCATGACCAAGCCTCCCAGACAGCATCCGGCAGCATCTCCAAGCCTGGGCAGGGGGACTCTGATGCAGCCGACGGCGAGGAGGGCTGCCCGTGCTGCCTAAATGGGTTCAGAATTGAAGGCCGCCCTCTCTCCCATGTGGGGCTCATTAACCACGAATCAAATTATTAAGACAAGCCCAGCTGAGCAAATGGTCAAACATAAAAACATTTGCAAGGAACAAAGAGGTCAACCCCATTATCCATCAAAAACCATCAAGGTGGCAGCCCTCACTGAGGGGTACAGCTCTCCAGGGGGCCCTCGTCTCCCCTCCAAACCCATGTGCCTCCCCAGCGGAAGGCCAGCAAAGCCACACAGGAAGAGTTGGGGGTAGGAAAGCAGAAAGTGAACCCCAGGAGGCCAGGCTGGCCACGGAGCCCCATCCCACACACACAGGCCGGGTGACTCAGGGGCCCACGTGTGCGGGACACGGGGCGCTCACGGGGACGGCGCCCCGGGGGATGCGAGGAACTTTGCCTCTCTGTCCCTCTCTGTGGGAATGGAAAGAGGAGAGCGATTTCTGGGATGGAAGCCATCTGCCTCCTCTCAACTCTCGCTGCCCAACCAGAATGGGAAGAAAAACAGGAAGATGCGGGGCAGGTGAGGAGCTGGGTGAGCGCTGCCAGCCCGCAGCCCAGCAGAGCGGGGCTTGGCCAAGCCTGGCGCCAGGGACTTCCCCCCACCCCCTCCACAAGCCCCTCGCCAGGTGAGAGGCACCGACAGAGTCCCAGACAGATGCCCCAGACAGGATGCCCAGCGCAACCCCCGCCCCTTCCCCTGCTGGGGGCCCCCGAGACGCGGGGCTCCCCCTCCCCTTTTGGCCAGCCGCAGAGTCCAGCGGGTCTCACGGCCAGGGACGTCGTGGGAGAATCAGGAAGTCGAAGCCACACACCGGAGAAGGGCAGCTGGCGTCTCGGAGGCCGTCACAAGCTGTCACTCCGCGCCCGCGGGAGTTGCCGCTCAGTTACCAACTTCAACCCGGGGCCGGCCACGGAGCCTCCCGCCGCCCCCACCCTGCGCCCCCGCCACCCCCGCGCCCCCGGACCCCCGCGCCCCCGTCACTTACTCCTCTGCCGTCGCCACCTGTCTGGGTGCCGGTCTCCTCCCTGCCTGGCCGCGGCGCGTCCTCCCCGTCCTCGGGCTGTGCGCTTCCCCCCTCCAGCCCCAGCCGCAGCCTCTTCTCCTCCGGAGGGACATCGTCCTCCTCCCTCCTGGGCCGGCCATCCCTGCCTCGGGGCTTGCCCGTGGCTTCGGAGCTGCCGGAAGGGCTGGCCATGGCTCCGGGGGCTCTACCTGCACTTGGGGAAGAGGAAGGACCCGGCGCGAGCGGCCTCTCGGCGGAGCTGGGGCGTCTGAGCGCGGGCTCGGTGCGTCCGCGCGGCGCTGAGCTGGGCATCGGGGCCGGCGCGGGCTCCTTCGCGGGCCGCTCCTGGCTCTCTGGCGCCCTCTGCTGGCCTCTCGCGAGCACCGCGGACACGCCGGGCCCGAGCCTGCGCCGCGCTTACCTGCCCCGGCCCAGGCTGTCGCTGTCCCCTGCCGGTGGTCAGGCCCTGCACCTCCTCCCCGCCCCAGCCAGGTTGCATCCTCATGGTCTCCCTGCCTCAAGGAGGAGGGAAGAGAAGGGACGCCCCGAGAGGGTGGACATCGGCCACAGCCACCTTGTCTGCTCTTACCCTGTGTCTTGCATGATTTGGAGGTGGTGGGAAAACCGAGGCTGCTCAAAACTCGTGGAGAATTCCGCCTGCAGGATGACATGAATGCATCTTCAATAGCCTGCCAATAGATATTTTTTGAGCGTCACTGTGGACCAGGCGCGGTGATGGGGGAGGGGATATTGTGGTGAACATGACAGGCATTGCCTTCACCCAGTGGGGCTCAGCGCTGGGTGAGAAGGCATTGAGAGTGGACATTGTCAGTTGGGCAAAAGGAGGCCAAGGAGAAGTGCTGGGTGCATGGGAACTGAAAAACACAGGAGGCTCAGCAGGTCTTGGAGCTGGGAGAGAACAGTAGCGGCGGCTGTTCCAAAGGAAGCAACAGCTGAGAAATGTCTCAGAGTTGTTCTCAGCCCAGTGCAGGGTGTTCAGGCAGAGGGAATAGCGTGTGCAAAAGCCCAGAGGCTGGGAAAGAAGCAGAGAGAGGACTGTGAGGCTGGAGCGTGGTGAGCAAGGGGAGAGAGGTGTGGTGGGCAGACAGATCGGCTGGGACCCCACCGTGCGGGGACAGAGGAGATACGGGATCCTTGCCGGCCCCCAGCCAGGGCTCAGGCACAGAGACAATGCAGGCAGGCAAAGGGAGGAGACGTGGAGAAATATTTTGGAGGCAAGCACCGATGAACGAGCCCAGGATGCACCCTTAGTGTCAGTGTGGAGCTCCTTCCTTGGCTGTGTGATGAGCTGAACCGGGGGTATTTTCTGGACATTGAGGTGCTACACCCAGAGTCCAGGACAGGCTAAGTGGGCACCAGCAGCTCGTGGCCTACCTCAAAAGCAGGAGAGACAGGGGAGGCCGGGGAGGCCAGGGAGCCAGTGGAGGAAGGAGACACTGGGGAGGCTGTGTCCTTTCCACGATTCTGCCCAGGATCCTAGGCCCCTGTACTCCCTGAGCTCTCCCACCACAAACGCTGGAACCATGTTGCACAATTGTCTCCCCACTAAGCCCCCGATGGCTGCCCCTACCCTGCTGTGCTCCCTATTTCATCCCTAACAGCTCTCACAGTGGGCAGCACATAGTAGGTGCTCAGGACACACTGGTGGGAGAACACATGGATGTGCTCAGCACCTTCCTCTCTCCTCCAGCTCTCCCCTGTCACGAAATAATTCTGATAATGACACACAGGCTTTGAGACCCTCTTCTATTACTTCTCATATGCTAATCCATCTATACCTCACAGCAGCCCTGGGGGTGGGTGTTATTAGGGTGCCCATTTTACAGAGGAGGAGACTGAGGCATAAAGAGAGTAAATGACATAGGCACACTACAGGGGCTGGGGCCAAGTGACCGCAGCACTCAATCCCCAAAGGCAAGGTGGACGCAATTACCATAAAGGACAGCAGACTCAAAGCTGCAACCCGAATAGCCTGACTCGCAGACCTGCGGTACCCCCTGATCGTGGCGTTCCTAGAAGTGAAATAGATAAGAAGCCTGCCACATTTGTACTCGATCTGTGTTTGCAGAAGCGTTCTAGGTCAGGTGAGCAGAAGTCTAACCTGAATCATAAAAACAGAGCCACAGTCCCCAGTCGATTCCCAGACATAAGCCAGTTCACAGACCCGGAGTCCCTTGTCTGAATGGGAAGCCAGGTCCCCTCCAGAAAGGACTCTGCTCCACTGCCAAAAATTTATACTTTCTCCCAGCCTGCCCTTAAAGGAATATGCAGCCTTTTACCAGGATAACTGAACAGGGGAATAGGAACTAATGAGACCTGTGCAGGATCACTGGACACAAGCTCTGAACTGGCACTAGGGCGAGATGAGGGTCTACCAGTCAGAATAGGCATTTTGGAGGTCAGGTGAATGTTAGTACAAGTTCATGTCATGGTAGATCCATTGGGTCTCCAAACCCATCCTCTGGTTATATACAAAGTGGCAATGCTGACATTGAAATTCAGGGCATCCAACATAGCGGCTGTTCTCTTACTCATGAAACATTCTGACATCTCTGGAAACAAAACCACAATTCAGGGTTCCAGTCCACACCCACGCAGCCTGACCCAATTCCAGTGCCCAAGGTCACAGTGTCAACCCCATCTTTTGCAGCATTTAAACTAGGCAGGAAAATTAGGGACAATTAAAAGGACATGGGCCACCAGCTAGTCATAGACTCTCTCTGGTATGTATCATAAATATTTGCCTTCCTGAGGTTCAATTTGGACAGACTTTGTCCCAGTCTGCAGCATACCTTGACATGATAGGCTTATCTATTCGTCTCTTCTTTTTTTTTTTTTTTTTCCAGACAGGATCTCACTCCCTTGCCCAGGCTGGAGCGCAGTGGCACAATCATGGTTCATTGCAGCCTCAACCTCCTGGACTCCATCAATCATCAATACTCAACCTCCTGAGTAGCTGGGACTACAGGCATGCACCACCAAGCCCAGCTAATTTTTGTGGGTTTTGTAGAGGTAGGGTTTCTCTGTGTTGTCCAGGCTGGTCTTGAACTCCTTGGCTCAAGCGATCTGCTCATGTTGGCCTCTGAAAGTGCTGGGATTACAGGTGTGAGCCACTGCACCCAGCCTCCTCTTCCTCTTGATGGTGAATTCTGTAAGGGCAAAGGCTCATTCATTTTTGTTGTTTAATGAATAGGCTTTATTTTTTAGAATAGCTTAAGCTTTACAAAAAAATGAGCGGAAAGTATAGTGCTCCCATATGTGCCCTCAAATCCTCCCATCCCGTTTCCCCTGTTGTTAACATGTGGCTTTAATGTACTACATTTGTTGCAGTTGATGGGTCCATATTGATATATTATTGTGAAGTCCGTAGTTTAGGTTTCTCTCCTGGTGTGTTGCACATTCTTTGGATGGATGTGATCATCCACCATTGTATACACCATTACAGTGTCACACAGAATAGTCTCAATGCCCTAAAAATCTCCTGTGCTAAGCTGGTTCATTCTTGAATCTCCATTGCTTTTGCATTGTGCCAAGCCCTCAGCTGGGGCATGTGGCTGTTGAAGGGATGGATATTGCAAAAACTGCTGCCAAATGTTTCCATCCTGGACGAGTAAAGGAAAGTGGCCCTGATGTTTTAAAAGGCCTGACATCAAAAGAAAGGGTGTGAGTTTACCAGGCCACTGGGATTAGCCCCCCAAGGGACCATTTCCTCAACTTGATCCGATGATCAAGGCAGCAGAAGGTCCAGAACAAAGGGGATCCCTTTTACTCTGACCTAGGACAAATGTCTGTAAATTCTTCGAGAGCTCAGAAAATGTCAACATCTGGGCCAACAGACAAAAGTGGAAATGTCAGCCGGGCGTGGTGGCTCACGCCTGTAATCTCAACCCTTTGGGAGGCCAAGGCGGGCAGATCATGAGGTCAAGAGATCGAGACCATCCTGGCTAACACGGTGAAACCCTGTCTCTACTAAAAATACAAAAAATTAGCCGGGCGTGGTGGCGGGTGCCTGTACTCCCAGCTACTGGGGAGGCTGAGGCAGGAGAATGGTGTGAACCCGGGAGGCGGAGCTTGCAGTGAGCCGAGATCGCGCCACCGCACTTCAGCCTGGGCGACAGAGCGACACTGAGTCTCAGAAAAAAAAAAAAAAAGTGGAAATGTCTGAGAAAAAAATAGTTCTTTTTCTATCAGTCTAAGAGTAGAATTCTCACCACCTCAGGTGCAGATGTAATAAATAAGTAATAAAGCAGCAAGCAGAAGTGATGGAAACCATGAAAAAGATTGTGGATTATCTGAAGGAAGACACGGCTTCCGCATCAGTGGGGTCTTTAGGCTCCCGCCATAACCCCCACACCCACAGAGAAGATGCGTCTGACCCCAGTGAGTACCTGGGTCCCGCCACAAGTAGACCCCAAGATGATTATTCCAGTGCAAGACGTTTACTTGGGGGTGATGCTGGGAAACCCTGGTGATAGCCTGGGGATATGGGATGAATATGGAGAAGGGAAGACAGCTGTAAAAGGTTAACCTCTCGGTGACTCCTGTGGGCATCCCAGGACTTAATCCAACCGAGAGAGCATGTAGAAGGTGCACCTCAGACATCCCGCCTAGGTCTGCAGGAGCTGGGCCATTCCTACCCGAAAACTCACCAGGCACAACTCAGAGATACTCCTTAGAGGGTCTTAATTTCCAAGTACTTTCAACAAAGTGGCATTGGTGGCCACAGAGAGCTTCAGGCAAAAGTGGCCGGTGTGCACACGAATAGTAAGGCCACTGAGAACATCTGCTATGGACCCAAACCCAGACATAACCAGGCTGGCTCCAGCCAGACACGGAGCAGGGTGGCATCAGAAGGATGGCAGAGCAGTGACAAGGACACTTCTTGGGCAGGTCTCGAGGACGTCTGGATTCTCCCCTTCCACCGTGGAGCTAGAAGGCAGGTAGCTCAGCCAGGGCACTGCAGGCCGAACTCCAATCGAGTCTAGGCTTCAGCCTTTGAAACTGCATTAGCTCAGGCAGGGGCGGGACCTCTAGAAACCTCAGTTTCTTCATCTGTGAAATGGGCATCACGACAGTACCTGGTAGGATTGTTACGAGAATTTAACAAAATTATGCATGTAAAGCTCTAATCCTGACACCTAATAAAGGTTCAAAAATTGTTTGTTTTTAAGTATCATTAACCCACGTACTTTTTTTTTTTTTTTTTTTTTTTTTTTTTTTTTTTTTTGGAGACAGAGTCTCACCCTGTCACCCAGGCTGGAGTGCAATGGTGCAATCTCGGCTCACTGTAACCTCTGCCTCCTGGGTTCAAGAGATTCTCCTGCCTCAGCCTCCCGAGTAGCTGGGATTACAGGTTTGCGCCACCACACCCGGCTAATTTTTTGTATCTTTAGTAGACGTAGGGTTTCACCATGTTGGCCAGGCTGGTCTTGAACTCCTGACCTTGTGATCTGTCCGCCTCGGCCTCCCACAGTGCTAGGATTACAGGCATGAGCCACCGCGCCCGGCCAGCCCACGTACCTTGCTTACAAAGAAGGTGAGGCTCATCCTGAAGTTGGATGAGATCCTGGTGAAGAGGAGGAGGGAGACTGAATGCTGATGAGACTGTGCGTCAAGGTTGGGAAGTTGGAGGCAAGGGCCGGGGAACAGCTGCAGCTCACTGTGCAGCCAGATCGGCCATTAGAAGCTTCGAGACCCATATCTTAAGCTGGTCATGAATTAGGGCGTGAGGAAAATAAACCCCAAGGCTTGGCTTCCCCGCTGAAATCCCTCTTGAAAACTTTTAGTCATTTAGGAGGTGAGGGGAGAAACCCAGCAGTTAGAACTACCCTATTCCCACAAACGCCTGCCTTAGATTCTCAGTTGAGTCCCCAAGACTCTATCCGGATGAGACAGTTGCTCTCCTAGAGCTCCCGCCCGTCCACCCTACACAGGTGACCCCATAAGAGTAGACCCCTGAACTCAAAGTGTAGCTGCTTCCTCTCCAATGAGAAATCCCAGTGGGGGTAATGATTTACCCCACACACACATGCCCATAATTTCTTCAGGCAACTGCCCACAATTGACTCCTGACACCATCTGCAAACCACCTCCTGAGTGGTCATTAGCGGCTGGCCATGACCCCAAAGCCAGCCGTACCCCCAAAATACTGAACTGACAAGTCAGCATTTCTGTGGCCCTGCATGGCTGCTGAGAATTCCATGAGTCCCATCTTACTTTCCATCTTACTGGGGCCAGGGTGCCTCACTCTTCCCAGCCCATACTCCCAGATGCCTGCCTATCTCTGCTTATAGTTTCTCAGCTTTCACCTGATTTGGAACATGTTTGTCTCTATGTGGCCAGCACCTGTAAATTACACAGGGATTACAGCTTCCCCAGGGTCATCAACAAGCTTTCTGTCAGCCCAACCATGGTGCTGCTGGAAATCAATTGATTGATTGATTTTTTTTTTTTTTTTTTTTAGAGATAGGGTCTCACTCTGTCGCCCTGTGCCCAGGCTGGAGTGTGCAGTGGTGCAATCTCAGCTCACTGCAGCCCTGCAGTCTCTGCTTCCTAAGGTTTAAGTGATCCTCCTGCCTCAGTCTCCCAAGTAGCTGGGACCACAGAGGCATGCCAAGATGCCTGACTAATTTTTTTTTTATTTTTTGTAAAGACAGGGTCCCTCCCTGTGTTGCCCAGGCTAGTCTGAAACTTCTGGGCTTGAGCAATCCTCCTGCTTCAGCCTCCCAAAGTTCTGGGATTACAGGCATGAGCCACCACACCTGGCCCTATTTTTAATGTTAAATTTTATTGTTAACTATCAAGATGCAAGTAACACTCCAGTGTGATTCCAGGTTTGAAAATGTCACTTTTTACCCATTTTACCTTTAAATCTGGGATGTGACTAGAATCTCATGTTTTATTCTTCTCCTCCCAATGATTATTGCAATCTAGCTCTTCATCTACTTAAATGATTCATGTAAAGGGATATCTGAGGGTCTCTCCAGCATCCTAGCACCTAATTTTTTTCCTCCTCAGCTTTAAACCTACTTAGTGAGCAGACATCTGCAGGGACAAGAGAACAAACATCAGACATCAGCATTTATCTAAACCATGGCTGCGAGCCCTTCTGAGAGGCATCTTGGGTATTTGGGCACATGGATATTTGTCTTGATTATCTGAATCTCCCCTCCTCTTGTTCTCCTGAAATGGGCACGATCAGGCCGGGTGCGGTGGTTCACGCCTGTAATCCCAGCACTTGGGGAGGCCGAGGCGGGCAGATCACACGAGGTCAGGAGTTCGAGACCAGCCTGGCCAACCTGGTGAAACCCCGTCTCTACTAAAAATACAAAAATTAGCTGGGCGTGGTGGCACACGCCTGTAGTCCCAGCTACTCAGGAGGCTGAGGCAGGAGAATTGCTTGAATCCAGGAGGCAGAGGTTGCAGTGAGCCAAGACCCCGCCATTGTACTCCAGCCTGAGCAACTAGCGTGAAACTGTCTTAATAAAAAGAAGAAGAAGGAGAAGTAGAATGAGAAGGAGAAGGAGAAGGAGAAGGAGAAGGAGAAGGAGGAGAAGGAGAAGGAGAAGGAGAAGGAGAAGAAGAAGAAGAAGAAGAAGAAGAAGAAGAAGAAGAAGAAGAAGAAGAAGAAGAAGAAGAAGAAGAAGAAGAAGGAGTAGTAGTAGGAGGAGGAGGAGGAGGAGGAGGAGGAGAGGAGGGGGAAGAGGAGGGGGAAGAGGAAGGAGAAGAAGAAAAGAAGAAGAAGAAGAAGAAGGGGGAGGGGAAGGGGGAGGGGAGGGAATGGGCATGGGCTGTGTCTCATTGTTTCCTGCCATGGGGTGCTGATTGCTGCAGGAGCCTTTTAATACATGCAACAGCTCTTCCAACAGACAAATCCCTGCCTTCTCTCTGATGTCGCTGCACTGTAAATTGCAGTTTAGAGAAGAGAGCGTTAAAGGCAATGCCCACACAGCCAGTGTGTGTATGAGACAGCACTGGGGAAGGAGGAAGGCCCCTTCAACCCAACACCATCCTGTCTTCACCCATCAGACAGCCTCAAATGGGGCCAAGGACAGCCATGGGATGAGAACAGTGAGTCCCAGAACAGGCAGAGATTCTGGGCTCAGAAGCTTCTGTACGGATCCACAACAAAGCACTCTTGGGACTCTCAGACTCTCCACATCTCACCACCACCAGAGTTCAATTTTTTTTTTATTTATTTGTAAGAGTCAGGTTCTCACTCTGTCACCCAGGATGGAGTGCAGTGGTGCAAATGTAGCTTACTGAAGCCTTGGACTGCTGGGCTCAAGCGATCTTCCCGCCTTGGCCTCCCAAAGTGCTAGAACTACAGACATGAGTCACTGTGCCTGGCTGGGAGCTTGACTTTTAAGAACCCACTTTTGTGGGTCACATTTTTTCCTAGAAAATTGTATTTAATGTATTGTGTGAAGAAGCCATTAAGATGGGTTGTTCTGGGCAATGAGATAAAAACCCATTATAGTTCACTGAATTATTGAACCCTGAGAGGGAAATGTGATTCTGGACCCATGACCCCTCAAAAAGGCAAGAACCACCAAACTGTGCATTTATGCCAATATTTGATATACCTTGATCTTGGATATGACCAAAGAAAGGAGGAAAGGGAAAATGTCCTATTTTGGGTGCCTACACTGTGTGGGGGCACTTTGTGTGACCTCTCTTATTTCTTTCTTGAGCTACTGAAGTGACTATTATCAAAAGCCCCATTTTTCACATAATGAAACTGAGGACAGGAAGCACACATTAGTTCCCAATGCTTTCTAGTTGACAAGAGGCACGGTAATGTAGGGACAGAGGAAAAGTGTCCTTTCTGCCCATGGAAGGCTCACTGAAATGACTGATAAATAAACAATACACAGGAGAAAAAAAAGGCATACATATTTCTTGGTGTGTATATGGACATGGGAGTCCTGCAAATATGAGGCTCAAAGAGAGACCAGGTCATTGAGGCTTAAATACTATTTTCTTAGGGGGAAGGGAAATAAAGGGCCTGGAGGTAATTTTAGGGACAGTATGTAATTTCTAAGGAAAATTAATGAGCCCAAAGAACAATGGCCTGGGACAACATCCCTCAGAACTCTAGGGGAGGTGGTGGGAAGGTGAGGGGCAGAAGTTCACTGTGAGCAAAGGTTGTCTTATTATGCAGATAAGGTCTCCCAGGTAATCTCTTAGAGCTGCCCTCAGAAAAATAGATGAAAATCTGTCTCAGCATGGTGACGACTTTTAGTCTCTTCTCTTCTCTGGTGGTTATTCGATGAGATTCCCAGGGAGGGGGTCTTAAGACAATTGCATTTCTTTTGGAAAGAAGTTTCTTTAGTCAAATAAAATTTCAGAGAGAGTCCCTCCCTGTGTTTGAGAAAAGAAAGAGGATCAGAGATGGGGAGCAGGGGTAAGTCAAAGAGACCTTGGTTCTGAGACTTATTTCTGAGGCCTTCCTATTTCAGTTCAAAGCATTCAGTACGTCAAAGTGCCAAATTTTGAGTTATCATTTCCTGAGCCACAACAGCAATATCAGTAAAATAATAATAGCTGATATTCACTATTTGCAATAGCAAAGACATAGAATCAACCTAAATGCCAATCAATGATAGATTACATAAAGAAAATGTGGTACATATCCACCATGGAATACTATGCAGCCATAAAAAGGAATGAGATTATGTCATTTGTAGGGACATGGTTGGAGCTGGAAGCTGTTATCCTCAGCAAACTAACACAGGAAGAGAAAACCAAACTCCACATGTTCTCACTTATGAGTGGGAACTGAATCATGAGGACACATGAACACTTGGGGGGAACAACACACACTGGGGCCTGTTGGTGGAAGAGGCAGAGCATCAGGAAGAATAGCTAATGGCTGCTGGACTTGATACAAAGGTAATGGAATGATCTGTGCAACAAACCACCATTGCACACATTTACCTATATAACAAACCTGCATGTGTTGCACATGTACCTCTAAACTTCAAATAAAAGTTGAAGAAAAAATAATAGCTGATATTTTTTAAATCTTACTCTGTGTCAGGCACTGTTCTAAACAGTCTATGTATATTAGTTCATTTAATCATCCTTATAGGCCAGGCACAGTGGCTCATGCCTGTAATCCCAGAACTTTGGGAGGCCAAGGCAAGTGGATGACATAAGCCCAGGAGTTGGAGTTTGAGACCAGCCTGGGCAATATAATGAGACCTCATCTCTAAAAAATACAAAAATTACACAGGAGTGGTGGCACGCACCTCTGGTCCCAGCTACTAGGGAGGCTGAGGCAGGAAGATCACTTGAACCTTGGAGGTGGAGGTTGCAGTGAGTGCTGACTGCATCACTACACTCCAGCCTTGACGACAGTGAGACCCTGTCTCAGTAAGAAATAAAAATAAATAATCTTTTTTACAACCCATTAAGGTGGATATTGTTATTATTCCCATTTTACATATAAGGAAGATGAAGCTCTGAGAAGTTCAACAACTGGTCCAAAGTCACCCAGCTAGTAAAGGATAGAGCTGGGACTCGCATCTCACTGGTCTGCCTCAAGCCCACGCTCATAACCTCTCAAAGACACTTACCTTCCAGAACTTTCTGGGGAATCACTATAAGATCAAGTTGACTGCTTAGGACCAGCAAGGACCATGGTGCATTGTGTAATAATTTCAGGGTGGAGATTAACAAAAAGCCTTACCCTTCATTCTGTCATCTTCCAATACCAGTCACAACCCAGGGTCCTCCACATCTGCATCAGTAACAAAACAAGAAGAAACCTCACCCAAGACCACAGTGAGGGTCAGAAATGACTTCAATGCAGGCATGTCTGGCTCCTGAGCCTGAGCTCTGAGGCACCATGCAGCCACATGCCCATCATCTTCTACTCCTGCATGGAAATCCCTGAGCTTCGTGGAAGTCAGCAAGATCCCAGAAGTCCCTGTGAAGCACAGAAGGCAGACAGCAAACCCTTGGTTACCCCCAGAAGATTAAACTAGAGCAAACCAAACAGGCAACCACGGGGATTCAGGAACACCCTTGATCATCAAAACAGAGTAAAAAATCCCCCATCCCCTTGGGCTGAGCTAGAAGCCAAGGCCTCAGAAGACAGGACAGAAGCATCTTTCATTGTCCCTCCCACAGAGCTACCAGCCTCCTGCACTGCGAGCAAAGCTATGGTGTCCCCATGGGCAAGGCTGCCTATGTCTGTGCCCCAGCTACGCTGCCTTGCTGTTTTATAGGCACAAGTAAGATGATATCCCAAGCAATCCCTCCAACATGGAGTAAAATTCATGTAGTAATAATCCCTGTTCTTATGCATACACATACACACACACATGCACACATAATTTAAGCCTCCTCGGGAAGTGAACAAAAATGCTGGCCAAAAAAAAAAAAAAAAGCTGTGTGTCTCCCCAACATGAACCTGTGGCATTGGCATTTGACCCCTAATCTAGGCAGGAGTTAGCATCCTATCAGCCACCCCCCCTTCTCTCTCCTTCTCTCTTATCTCTCTCTCTCTCTCTCTCTCTCTCTCTCTCTCTCCTTCTCTTTCTCTCGCTTTCTCTTCCTCCCTCCCTCCCTCATCTCTTTCTCTCTCTCTCCCTGCCTCTGCATCTCTGTTTCTCTCCCCCTCCCTTTCTCTTTCTCTCTCTCTCTCCCTCTGTTTCTCTCTCTTCCTTCCTCCCTCCCTCGTCTTTCTCTCTCTCTCCCTGCCTCTGCATCTCTGTTTCTCTCTCCCTCCCTCTTTTTCTCTCACTCTCCCTCTGTTTCTCTCTCTTCCTCCCTCCCTTTCTCTCCCTCCCTCCCTCTCTCTTACTCCCTCCTTTTTTCTTTCTCCTTTCCTCCCTCCCTCTCTTTGTCTCCCTCCCTCCATTCCTCTCTCTCTTCCTCTCTCTATCCCTTTTTCCCTCCCTCTCTCCCTCCTTTCTCTTTCTCTCTCTCTCTCTTTCTCTCTGTTTCTCTCTCCCTCCCTCTCCCCCACCTCTCTCTCTCTCTCTCTCTCTTTCTCTGTGTGTGTGTGTGTGTGTGTGTGTGTGTGTGTGTGTGTCATATATCTTGCTGGCTGTGTTGCTGCCTCCAAGTCCTTTGCAGGGCACTTGTACTTCAGCACCACGGCCAGAGCACATTTCCCCTTTCCCTCCCAGGCAGTGGATGATTGCAGATTTCTGAGACTTCCCCTCCTCCCCCTCCATCCCTCTCACTCCCACTTGCTCCCTCCTCTGTACCCCTTCTTCCTTTCTCTCTTTTCCTCCTCTTGCTTTGGTGCTGTTGAACACACCTGTAGTGATGACAAAGGTGTGCCCAAGGCGGGAAGCTTCTATGACAGATACAGGGACACCACCCAGCTGGCCAAGAAAATACAGCTTATGCGGGTCCTAGGCACAAGCACCACCTGGGAACATCTTGTCTGGGTTCTGATGTCTGACTGATTTGGGCACCAAGCCCCTGGAAAAGAGACAAAGAACCAAAAGGGTTCAATACTGAAGTCCACACTGTACACATTGGTCCCAGGCTGCACTAACTCAAAACATGACATGTCCTATCCTAGTCCAGGGCAGGGAAAACACTGGAGAACAAAAAGGCAAGGAAATAAGGACGTGGTTGGGTGCACTGGCTCATGCCTGTAACCCCAGAACTTTGCGGGGGCGGCCAAGGTGGGAAGATCATATGACCCAGGATTTCCAGACAAGCCTGGGTAACATAATACAAAAATTAGCCAGATGTGATGGCATGTGCTTATAGTCCCAGCTACTCGGGAGACTGAGTGGGGAGGATCACTTGAGCCAGGGAGGTCGAGGCTGCAGTGAGCCATGGCTGCACCACTATACTCCAGCTTGAGTGACAGAGGGAGACCCTGTCTCACCAAAAAAAAAAAGAAAAAAAAAAGTAAGGATTCACATTCTTTCTTACTGCCCACATTTTACTTCTCTCTCTTACTCCTACTTGCAACTTGAAAAGGAGAGTCTGTGTTTTGTACACCCAAATGTGCATACTGTGCTGTGTGTGCATATATGCTGAAGGTGAGGGGTGGGGGTTAGACAGAGAGAGGTGTCCATGAACAATCCTAGTAGCAAAATGAGAGGCAGGCCAGGTCAGTCTGCAAGCGGAACACAGAGCAGCAGACATTTATCCAATGGGGAAGAGGCTCATTCATTTCTTCTGTGCAAATAATGAAAACAGAACTAACATTTGTGAGCAACTGATATGGCCAGGCACTGTTGATTGCTTTGTATGCCTCATGCCATCCAGTCGTGACACCTTGATGAGGCAGGCACTGTTCTCATTACACAGATGAGAATGCCGAGGCTCAGAGTGACTGAGCAACGTGACCAGGGATCAGGATCACACAGCTACTAAGTGGCAGACATATACATGAGGGTACAGAAGGCAAGCGCAACATAAAGAAAAGAAACTCATCCTGTTTGAGAAGTTACATGAATTCGAGTGCAGCAAATGTAGAGATTATTTTTCCCCTCTCTTCTGATCTCAACAAAGAATTTTTATGAAGACAGTGCTGATTGTTTATTCTCTATGAGTGCGAAGTACCAACGTAAAGGAAAGTGACTTCAATTAAACCATACATGGGCCGGGCATGGTGGCTCACACCTGTAATCCCAGCACTTTGGGAGGCCGAGGTGGGCAGATCACCTGATGTCAGGAGTTTGAGACAAGCCTGGCCAATATGGCAAAACCCTGTCTCTACTAAAAACATAAAAATTAGCCAGGTGTGGTAGAATGCATCTGTAATCCCAGCTACTGGGGAGGCTGAAGCAGGAGAATTGATTGAACCCTGGAGGCGGAGGTTGCAGTGAGCCGAGATCACGCCATTGCATTCCAGCTTGGGTGACAGAGGGAGACTCTGTCTGAAGAAAAAAAGAAAATTAAAGCATACATGACTTTAGTTGGATAAATGTCAGGCCTTACCATCAGGGTCATTTGGGGTTAGTCGGTTGGTTCATTTTGTTTATAAGCTGGGATATGGCTCCTGTGATGAAAGCAGCACAGGAGAAGGAAGTTGGGAGACTTAAATTTGAATTCTGAGTCTTCCGCTAATTTGAGGGTGACCTTGGGCAAGCTGCTCCAGTTTCTTGGGTTCTAGCCACCCATCCTTCTACTGCCAAAAAGGAGGGGCTCTGAGCAGGTTATCTGATGATCCTTCCAGCTATGACATCAGCTTATGTTCCCAAAAGCTGCTGTACGATGAGGCCTCCTGCCCTTCAGGAGCCAAAACAAAAGACATACTGGACCATTTCATCTCCACCAGGAGCTTAAGGAACGTTGGAGGCCACGTCTAACCTCAGTCCCCCAGGAAAATGCTGTCTGAGCCTGCCCAGAGTGCAAGCGGCCCCCAATCCCTTCGGAAGCCAGCCACGCACCGCCCCACTTCAGGTGCCCATCCATCAGCTGGGTTTCCTGGGGAAACAGAGCTCATTCTTAAGCTCTCTTTCATGGCTTTTACCCAGAATTGATTTGAATAAATCAGTCTAATGCTCTCTCTACAATGGAACCGATTGTAAAAGAGCTTTATTTGCTCAGCTTTGAAAGCAGGTTGGAGCTGCCTTCTTCCCACTGCAAGACTGATGGAGAAAAAGGAAGCACACTCAGTGAATTTGACAAAGGAGAATTCCTCGAAAGGGGTGGGAGGGAGCCAAAGCCCCCCACCCAAGGATTCCCCAGCAAAGGGAACCCACACTTGCAGGACCCACGCCTGGAGAAAGAGGCCAGAGGTGACCAAATGGGATTTATCTGCGCCTGATGCTAACACCGATACCTACTATGGTCAGCTGCAGGCTTAGGGAAGCAAGTCGTCCCTGACAACGTCTGTTCCCCGCTTCTTCCTCTCTCAAGACACAGCAAGAACTAAACTCTCCTGAGCTTTTCTGATGCTCCAGGCACTGTGCCAAGTCTCAAGGGCACCTCCAATCCAACGATCCCAAACACAAGGGTTTTCTTTCCACTCTGCAAATGCCCTCAATGTTTTGCTTACCCCAGAGCCTTTGCGAGCCCTGTTCCCTCTGCCTCTCTCCAACTCCTACACATACGCCCGTGTCTGTAAGCCTGGCTCCTCCTTCATACCTCTTCCAATTCCACTTCCTCCTAAGGGCATTTCCCAAACACTCCAGTATAAATGAGGTTCTCACTATTATTCTCTCAATCCTGTTCTTTTGCTCCTGAACCACTTTATAGCACAGAGGCAAGATGGTGTTTTATTCAGAGACACAGGTTTGGGAGCCAGAGGCCTGTGGAGCCCCTGCTACTCCTCTTATTAGCTGAGGACCTTGGACACATACTTAATTTTTCTGTGCCTTAGTTTACTCAGCTGTAAAATGGGGATTATAAAAGCACCCATGTCTTGGGGCTGCAGTAAGGATTAACTGAGCTGACACCCTGTCAAGGGCCCAGAAACGTACCTGGCATGTAGAAAGTCCTCAGTAAACGTTTGTTATTATTTCTGCTGCGACTGTTTGATTTACCTCTACTCCCCACCAGCCTGTGCACATCATGAGCTGACAGCCGGATCCTTCTGTTCATCAAAACAACCCCAGGGCCGAGTTCAGTGCCTGGCACACATAGGTACTAAAAAAAAAAATGTATGTTGAATGAATGGAAATTTCCTTTGTTTTGTTATGTTTGCTTCATACGCACTTCAAAGAGACCAAGTGGAAATGGCATTGATTTTTATCATTTTATAGATGAAAAACACTGAGTCTGGAAACCTCAATGTATCCAAGCCTGGCTGATCGAGCGTCCAAGCAAGGCAAAAGCCCATGCGCAGTGCTTTTCCCACCAGGGGACAAGAAATAGAAACCTCAAACTGCCCCTTCACCCTCAGGGACCACTGGGACTCCGCTGAGGTCACTCCCAGCTTGGCTGAGGCCACCGCACCTCAGCAGTGAAGAGGTTACAGTTCAGCCCAGTGTCTGGGGAATGAGGCTTCTAGGGCTGTCTGCAAACTTGCCCCACCTGCCCTCCCAGGGGATCTTGATGGGTTGCAATGAGCAAACTAAAAGCTCTGGCTGACAATGCATGAGGTGAGGGCCACGAAGTCAGTGATGCTGAGGCTGAGGACCAAGAGCTCGAAGAGTCCTCTCTCCCTGCAGCAAGAATGAACATATTGACCAGAGGGACCCATTACCCACAAAGGAAGGACAGCCTTGCATCCAGAGGAGCGCACTCAGGAAGCAGCTTGACCCCCATAGGCAAGTAGAGGTGGGGACCACAGAGACTTTTGTGCACTATTATCCCAGTGTTCTTGGCAAAGGGCTGCCCTTGATAGCCATCTCTTGAATGACTGCACGAATACACTGGTGGTTGAATGAATCAAGGGTTGAATACATGGATCACAGCAATAATAAAAAACCTATCTGTTGGCCAGACATGGTGGCTCACGCCTGTAATCTCAGCACTTTGGGAGGCCAAGGCAGGTGGATCGCTTGAGCCCAGGAGTTTGAGACCAGCCTGGGCAACATGGCAAAACCCCATCTCTATTAAAAATACAAAAATTAGCCGGGCACCCACCTGTAATCCCAGGTACTTGGGAGGCTGAGACACGAGAATCGCTTAAGCCTGGGATGCAGAGGTTACAGTGAGCTGAGATCTCACCACTGCACTCCAGCCTGAATGACAGAGCGAGACTCTGTCTCAAAAAAAAAAAAAAAAAAAAAAAAAACCTATCTGTGTCCAGCTTCATCCTTCCTCCTCATCAGAATCCTGATTTTGGGAGTAGTATATCATAATGGCTAACAGGGTAGACTTTGAATCCAGCCTGCCCGAGTTCAAATCCAAGTTTCACCACTCACTATGTGACATTGAACAAGTTATCTAACCCTTCTGTGCCTTGGTTTCCCCACCTGCAAAATGGAGAGGCTAATCCCTTCCTAATGGAATTGTGCGGTTTAGTTGAGTTTATATATAAATTACTTGCAACAGTGTCTGGCATGTAGTAAGTACTCAAAATATGTGCTAGCTGTTACTGTTGCCATACTGGCTTTTGTCCGTATGTTTATTATTTTCAGCCTTATTTGATTTGCCTCTTGCTATAAGCTTCCTTGAGCCCTTCTGGGGAAGAAGCAGAACACAAATCAATTTAATAAATGAACTACTCAAATATAACATTTACAGGGTGGACTTAATCTAACAGATTTTCTCCTAATAAGACACATTTGCAAATTAAACTGTCTAATTTGGTGATATCTTTCAACACGTTAAGTGCACATGCCCTCTGCCCAGCAATCTCACTTCTGGGGACTGATCCTCGAGACACATCCACATGAGTGAGCCCAAATGGTACACGAGGAAATTTTACTGCAGCACCGTTTAGAAAAACAAACAACCAAAACAACCGACGTGTCCATGATGGGGGTTCGGCTAAATGAATTTATGACATAGTCATAAAGCAGGATATGCGCAGCTACTAAACACTGGAGCAAGCTTTTATGCGCCAACATAGAGAGATCCTTAGGACATATGGCTTCTGAAAAAAAGAAGCTGCCCAATGTTGTATAGAGCATGACTCATTTGTGCTTCTAAATATATGTGTACTCATACTTAAACCCATACACATATGTACACATGCACACACAGATACGTACCACGGTCATTATATCTACATTTTACAGATGAAGACACTAAGACCTAGATTTTGGATTTTGTTTTTTTAACCCCAAATGACAGTCACTGTCTTTTAATTTAAAAAAAAAAAAAAAAAAGTACGGCCGAGCACAGTGGCTCACGCCTGTAATCTCAGCATTTTGGGAGGTGGAGGCGGGCAGATAACTTGAGGTCAGGAGTTCGAAACCAGCCTGGCCAACATGGTGAAACCCCGTCTCTACTGAAATATACAAAAATTAGCCAGGTGTGGTGGCAGGAGACTTAATCCCAGCTACTTGGGAGGCAGAGACAGAAGAATCGTTTGAATCCCGGAGGCGGAGGTTTCAGTGAGTTGAGATGCAGCCATTACACTCAAACCTGGGGGATAAGAGCGAGACTTCTCTCAAAAAAAAAAAAAAAATACAATCTACTTATATTTAGTGTAAGTGATATGCTTGATTTTGATCCTTTGATACTGCTTCATGCTTGTTATTTATTTTCCTTTATTTCCTATTTTCATTTTTCCCTGCTTAGAACAAGCTATTGTTTGCTCCCTTTTCTCTTTAGGAATTGACTTTCCCTTTCCAAGCATTCATAAACATGTTTCTCTATCATTCTATGGGAAAAAGATGCCAACCCCTGCCCTCACCAAATGTTTTCATTCCTTCTTTTTCTGCCCGCCTCTTCTCAGTAAGATGAGGTCTTTTTAAGGCTTCCACCAAACTCCTTCCACCACCCTCTTAGTTTTGCTGAGGCATGTTCTAACTGGAGCCGTTGGGTATTTCTGTTTTCATGAAAACAATTCAAGGCCGTGTTTCTGCCTTATGTGTTGAAACCACCCTCTTTCTCCGGATTGAGTAATACATTGAAGCTTTCCAGATTTAACCAATAAGTTAACTTGCAAACAGAAGAAACACAATTCTAAACCAGTTTACGTTAAAATGCTGGCGACTTATGTACCCCGCAAGTTTGAGGGGATGGTCCTAGCTTCAGGCTTAGCTGCCTCTAGGTTCAAATACTGTCATCAGGGTCCGCTGTATGTCTCTCTCTTTATCCCTCAGCTCCACTTTGCCTTATTATCAGACAAGCTTTATCCAGATGGACATAAGACGACAGTTCACGGTCTCAAGGCTGTGTCCTACACAAAGCCCTCAATGCCAACTTAGTAAAACGCATCTTTCCCACAACCTCTGAGAAAAGACTCATGGAAAGCCGTGATTAGCCCATTCTTAAGAGTTATCCATTCCTGGACCAATCAATGTGGCCAGAAGGACTGAGTCCTCTGATTGGATGAGGCTGAGTCATGTGACCTCCCTGAACCACATAAACTGAATCATATTGTTCTGAAAATAGGAGAAAGTGGTTTGCAAAAAAGATGAGGTGTTGGCCTACCTTGTGTACCTCGTGGTCAACAAGCATAATCTGAAGAATCCAGGAACTCACAAAGGATTCTAAGAGGTCACAAAGATTGATGCCATCAGGCCCCAAAACTTCCACAGGAGTGTCAAGAGAAAAAATACCTGGATCACTCAGGTGCCCTCTCCTCAGTTTTCCTCTGTCCAGGCTTGAAGAACTACAGCCATTTCCAAGTTCTAAAAGGACAGCTAGGGGAGTTATTTGTTTGTTTATTTGTTTGCTTTGATTTCAGAAAGATGCAAACTCCAGGATCTCTTGAGAGGCTGCCAGGTAAGAAACCATGTGGTTAAAATTCACTCTTGAAGCCTACGCTCATGATAAATGCAATCATGGCTTCATATATCTGGCATCAAGAAACAGTAATCTTTCAGCAAAAACTCTCACTTGGTGTATTTTTCTCAGCCTTGTCACAAGACCTTCCAATTTAACCCGAAGACACTCCTGAGTTAGTAGGAAGCTCAACAATATTTCTTCCCTGACAAATCCCTGTACTTCAGCTCCAGCTATCTCTGGGAATGCAAGGTGACTCCTTGTTGGGAAAATACTGCATTTGTCCCTTCCATGGTAAAGGGCTGTTGCTCATCGTATATAGTGAGGTTTTTCCAAGAAAGAGAAACATGTCCCATTTGCTCCATAACCTAAGAAGAAAACAAAACCCAGATTCGCACAAATAGAAGAAGGTTGAATTCTGCTTGTTATTCTCAGCTTTGAGACTGCATTGATTACTTCTAGACAAAAAAAAAAAAAGTTGTTTCTAATATACAGTCACCCTGCATTAGATTTATGTACTTGAGCTTAAAAGAAGCCAAGTAAAGTTATCTGTTCTTGTTGTACCTGATTAACCTCAATACACAAATCATACTAATCAATAGTTAATTAAAAATGTGGCACTACCTCACCCCTATGCAAACGTGACCCATCTTGTATATCACTAAGTTAAAAGCCATGCTGGCCATCCTCTAAAGCAACATAGAATTGTCCAGACAAGAAAATAAACATATTTCCAAAATATTTCTATGTAAGGACCTCAAATGTAATGTTTGACTATACTTGTAACTTGGGGCCATCCCAGAGAAGCCACCTTGCAACGGCTCATTTTAGGTGTCAGTTTGACTGTATTAAGGAACACCTACAGAAAGCATTATTTGGGGGTGTGCCTATGAGCACTCTGGAGGTGTTTCCAGAGGCAATTCGTGTGTGAGTCTGCTTGGACTAAGGAGGGAAGATCCACTCTCAGTGTGGGTGGGTACCATCCAATCAGTTGAGGACCCTGACAGGACAAAAACCGAGGAAAAGCAAATGTGTCTCTATCTCCTGGAGCTGGGACACACTCTCCTTCTCCTGCCCTTGGACATCAGAACATCAGGCTTCCTGATTTCCGGACTCTGGAACTTAACACCAGCAGCCCCCTGGGTTCTCAGGCTTTTGGCCTTGGACTGAGAGTTACACCATCATCTTCCCAAGTTCTGAGGCCGTTAGACGCAAGCCAGGCTACCAACATCCCAAGGTCTCCAGCTTGTAGACAGTTTGTCGTGGGACTTCTCAGCCTTCATACTCACATGAGCCAATTCCCCCAGTAAGTCCATTTTTGTGTATCTGTTTATACATGATGGGTTCTGCCTCTCTGAAGAACCCTGACCAATACACGCCTCATTTGGTACACAGATCTTCCCAGTCTTGGAATCAGTACCTCCTTGACCATGCTGCCTGTATCCTCTGCACATTTAAGGTTTGTGGAGATGCTCTCATGGTGATTTGAAGTACTGCGTTCCCATTTTCAAATTTTCTCCAGGCTGAGAGCCTGTGAACTCACCCTCACCCTGATCTCATCTTCACTCATGCCTTCAAAACTACAATCAAGAACAATCAGGCAAAACTGATTTATTTATCATCTCCTGGGTTGCTGGTAACTCTTAGTGAGTCTCTTTATTTTAACTTCACACTCATTTCTGCCATAACAAAAGCATATATTTTATTGATAAATGTTTCTGTACCCCGACTTATTCCAAAGAGGACTTGAAATGGCTAGGAAAATAGTACATTGGAAATACCTTTGTCAGAATTACCCGTTTTATGGATTCAGTTCACGGTGATTTCTTCCAGTGGCCATGTCTGTGACCCCAACTCCCTCACTTCTTCAGGTAATAGATGCACCGAACCCCACTCTTAGCGGTAGAAGGACTCAAGTTGAGTTCATCGTAGTATCTCAAACCCCCAGTCTAAGGGTAGACAGATAACCCAAGAGAGCCAATTACGACTCTTTCCTGGGAGTTTTCAAACAAAAGCTAGGACAGGGAAGTCCATTTCCTTTCTGGCAACAAAGCCATAGGGATGAATGGCCAGGAGATTTCTGCCAAGATTCTCACCATGTACAAAAATTCCATCTACAGTAGGAGGAAAGAATCCAGGTTATAGAGATGAGAGGAAGAGAAAACAGGCAAAAGAAAGCCACCCCAATGTCTAGTTATGTCAGCCCACATATTCCCCTTTTCTGATGCAATGAGTTAGACACAGGACCCTGGAAGAACACCCCAAGAAGAGATGAAGACAAGACACTCATCACTCTGGCCTTCACTGAAGTCAGCGTTCACATGTTTTAACTGATTTAACTGACTCTCTACACCCTACCTAGCTGACAGACCTCCCTTCTCTCCTAGAGTTTTCCTCTGTAAAAACCAGACTTTCCAAAGAACTTGCTATAATCTAAACAACCAAGAATCTCACCAGCCAAGAAAAAAGGCTGTCAGACCCTGCGGCCACCCATCCTCCCCAGTTGCAGGCACTGAGGAAGCCTCTGTCCCCACTCCTTAGAGGTCTAAGCCAACCCCAGCCCAGGAAACCAGGCCATTGGGAGCACGTGATCACCCTTCTTGGTCTGCCTGGGGTTAGGTGTCTGGAAACATCGGCTTAGCATTGATGGTGGGTGCCATTAGCCAATGGGCTACCTAAAGAAAAGCAGCTCCCTGGGAGTCAGGAAAACAACCTGGGTGTTGTCCAAAGACTCTAGGCAAAAGGAAAGCATCTGAGGATCCCAAAGAAGGGAAATTTCAAAGAAGAACGGGGAGAGTCTGAGGGTGCTGCCGATGAAGATAAGCTGTCACTGCAGCCATTGTAGAAGGAACGTGCAGCCTCTGGCTAGGCATTAAAAATATCCAACCTTTGGGGACAAACAATCCCAGGTGTACCAGATGTGGTTCCCAGACCCCACCTCACTGCTAAAGAATGATTTGTAATGATCCTGGGATCAGCCCGGGGATCCACCTGCATGGCCACCAAGCCACAGCCTCCCCAGTCTCTATTAACAGTGGCTATCATGCTTGGAGTTCTTTCTGGGTGCCAGGAACTGTGCTGAGAGCTCAGCAGGCATCACAGTGTCTAATTCTTGCAATAACCCTGTGAAGTATGGATTCTATTTGTATCTCCATATTACAGATACAACTAAGATTCAGAGAAATAAAGTCACTTTTATCAAGTCAGCAGCACAGCCAGAATCCAAATGAGTTCTTCCTGACTCCAAAGCCAGGATGCTCCTCTTCCCAGATTTTCTCAGCTTCCCCCAAGAGACTGGACTCTGTCATCCACACCCACATCTTCAGGCCCTGATGGAAACATTTCCCCAATTCTCAGACTACCAAAGGTCAGAGATGAGCGCTGTCTGAAATTGTGACTGCCCGTCCCACCCACAAGATTGGACCACCTTGGAGATGATCCCCAGCCCCAAGCTTGCTCTCATCCTCCATGTGCTCTGTGCACAGTAATTCAGAATGCCGGGATTCACCATCATCTCATTAAAGCTGATATCTCAGTTTCCCCAACCCTACTCTGCTTAGTCTCCCTGCCTTTCCCCTTCAGCCCGTCCCAAGGAGGCCCAAAATGCCTCGTGGCCAAACCCACCCACATATTGACAAAGAGTCAGAGTCGCCCATCTTGAGCTCGGAGCCAAGGTCTGTGTGCTGGGCACCAAGAGGAGCACGCTTTGGCTTCCTTCCAACAAAATGTAAATACACAGCAGAGGAGAAATGAGGAGGGCCAACCCTAAGGCTGCACCAGGTCCCATAAATGACAAATGCTGTACACTCATGTCAGGAAGCCAAGGCTATAAAAGCCACAAGTGAATTAGGATGGAGTCCAAAGTGGTGATGTCATGTGAGAACATCTTCACATAGCATCACTGCCTGGGAATGGGGCTGGAACTTGTGTCCTGGACAGCCAGAGATCTCAGACCCTGATGGAGCCTCCCACTGGGAAAAGAAGACGGAGAACAAAGCAAAAATGAGCTCCAGAGTCCCTGCTTCTCTCAAGGAAATCAGGGTGGCCGGGGAACACGAGGAAGCCACGGTGGCATGTGTTGGTCTAGGACTGACATCCCCATTAGCATCCTGATCCGTCTTGGAGAAGTCTTTGGCAGGGTGCAAATCCAAAGCCCATTCTCCATCGCCAACTCTACTCCCCAGATATTCGAGAACCAAAGGGACCAGATCTTTCCTGGTACCACAGAAGGGCACAGAAGACCTGGGCTCAGCCAGTCAGATGTTTGCTACCAGGGTTTTGACTCTCAAAAGACAGTTGCAAAGATGGAGTCAGCTCTGTCCCTGCTTGGATAGCTCCCACCAGCTGGTTCCAACCCTCCCACATTCCTCCTGCCCATTCCTCAAGCCTGATCTTGCAGCTGATCATCTGTGACCCCCCAAAAACCTTCTAGGAAACTCTCTCCTTCCTTCATAAATAGGATTAGCTGCTGTGGCTTTCAGCCAAGAATCCTGACTGATATACACTTCCTTTTATTCTTTGTGTTTTGTTTTCAGAGCCAGCAGCCCCAAGGATACTTCAAACAGTGGGCATTGGTGCAATTCTATAAAAAGAAACCAGAAACCATTTAAATGTGTGTCAGGAAGAAGCACTTCCAGATGTTTGAGGAAAGATGTAAGATAGCAAGGTATCGCCTGAAGCCCAGATTTGGGATCTAAGTCCTGTATTTCATACCTCAGGGCCTTTGCATATATTTTTCCCTGGTCTTTTCACTGGACTAAACCCCACCCATCATCCAGGTCTCAGTCTAAATGTCACTTCCTCTGAACAGTTATCATAATGGATCATGATACATTGACTTGTCTATTTGTTTAATGTCCTTATACCCCCATTACACTGTAAGCACCAAGAGGGAGGGAACAGGGCTGTTTTGCTCACTTGTCACTCCGCAGTGCCTGGCATAGCCTGGCATGTAATTGGCATTCCATAAGTATTTGTAAAGGAATTCACAATCCAGGGGATGCAACCACCCATCCAGTGAGTATCTTCATGGCACCCATGAGGTGGACACTATTATTATCATCCCTGTTTTACAGGTAAGAATGTGAGAAACAAGGAGTTGAAGGAATTTGCCATAAGTCACCCAGAGAAGGCAGGGTGAAGAAGGGATTTGAACCTGAGCATACTGACTCCAGAGCCCTCTTAGCTGCTCCATGGAGCAGGGGCTTTATGCAAAGTAGAGGTTCTGATCCTCTACTGTTGCAAAACAAAACAAAATTTAGTGGTTTCAAAAATACATCATTCGTTCTGCTAATAAATCTGTACTTTGGACAGGGTTCAAAGGAAAGGGTTCATTTCTGTTCTTCCCAGGGCTTGGAGGAACCACTCTCAAGGTGAAGGTGAATCTTTTTTTTTTTTTTTTTTTTGAGACGGAGTCTCACGCTGTTGCCCAGGCTGGAGTGCAGTGGCGCGATCTCGGCTCACTGCAAGCTCCGCCTCCTGGGTTCACGCCATTCTCCTGCCTCAGCCTCCTGACTAGCTAGGACTACAGGCGCCCGCCACCGCGCCCGGCTAATTTTTTGTATTTTTAGTAGAGACGGGGTTTCACTGCGGTCTCGATCTCCTGACCTTGTGATCCGCCCGCCTCGGCCTCCCAAAGTGCTGGGATTACAGGCGTGAGCCACCGCGCCCGGCCTGAATCTTTTTTTTTGAGATGGAGTCTCGCTCTGTCACCCAGGCTGGAGTGCAGTGGAGCGATCTTGGCTCATTGCAGCCTCCACCTGCCAGGTTCAAGCAATACTGGATACTTCTGTGCCTCAGCCTCCTGGTTAGCTGGGATTACAGGTGCCTGCCACCAAGCCTGGCTAATTTTTGTATTTTTGTAGAGACAGGGTTTCACCATATTGGCCAGGCTGGTCTCAAACTCCCGACCTCAAGTGATCCACCAACGTTGGCCTCCCAAAGTGCTGGGATTATGGGTGTGAGCCACCACGCCCAGCCAAGGTGAATCTTTCATATGGCTGGAGAGTTGATGCTGGTGTCAGCTGAAAGCTTAGCCAGGGCTGTGCACCAGAGGGCCTTGGTTCCTCTCCACCTGGGTCTTGCCTTGTGCTGCTTGGGCTTCCTCACAGCATGGTGGCTATGTGCCAAGAATGAGAGAACCAGGAAAACATTGCACAACCTCTTCTAACCTGGCCTTTGAAGTCTCATAAAGCCACTGCCACTACATCCTATTTGTGCGAACTGTCTCAATCCTGCTCAGGTTCAAGAGGCGATTGGTACTTTGCCTCTTGATGGGTGTGAGACAAGCTTCTAAAAGGACCCACAGGATGGGAGATGATATTTTGGCCATCTTCAGAGAATACAATCTGCCTCAGCAAACAGCATATTGTATGACTTCACCAGTCTGTCCTAACTTACAAACCCCACTTCAAAATTACCACCCCTGGGAACCCCACTGCAAGTTTAGAAAAATCTCTGGACTCACGAAATCAGGAGATCAAGACCATCCCAGCTAATAGGGTGAAACCCTGCCTCTATTAAAACTGCAAAAAATTAGCCAGGTATGGTGGCAAGCACCTGTAGTCTCAGCTACTCGAGAGGCTGAAGCAGGAGAATCACTTGAACCCAGGAGGGGGAAGTTGCAGTGAGCGGAGACTGCGCCACTGCACTCCAGCCTGGGTGACAGAGTGAAATTCCTTCTCAAAAAAAAAAAGAAAGAAAGAAAAAAATCACCGGACTCAAAGAAAAGATGCTAGGAAAAGTAAATGCCACTAGAGGGGCAGGCAAGGTCGGGGAAGTCTTCCCCCACAATATTTGCATATTTTCACTTCATTTCCTTACAATGCCTGAAGCTCTACTAATTAGAAACTCATTTGAGATAACTAGTTACCAATTTAAAAATGCAAACACCTCCTAGGGCTAGCCAGAGTCCTCCAAACAGTCATGTAAATTGGTTCTGTCAAGGATTTCCTACCACCCCCTGCTGAGAGCCAGTTGCAAGGAAAGACTAGGGAAGGGCATTGGGTAACTTTGTTGGTAAAACCTCTTCTGGAAGAGACATTTGGGAAAAGAAGCAAATAGAGTTCAGCAGAAGAGGTAAGAAAGTAAGTTTATGTTTGGCCAGGCACCGTGGCTCACACCTGTAATCCCAGCACTTTGGGAGGCCGAGTCGGGCAGATCACGAGGTCAAGAGGTCGGACCATCCTGGCCAACATGGCGAAGCCCCGTCTCTAGTAAAACTTCAAGAATTAGCTGGGCATGATTCACACCTGTAGTCCCAGCTACTCTGGAGCCTGAGGCAGGAAAATCGCTTGAACCCGGGAGGCAGAGGTTGCAGTGGGCCGAGATCATGCCACTGCATTCCAACCCAGCGACAGAGCAAGACTCCATCTCATAAAGAAAAAAAAAAAAGTAAGCTTATTTTTAAGCCTGAACAAGTGTAGTGGTTTAGGGGCTCTGCAAATATGGCCCCAATCAGGCTACAAGATGTTGTGGCAGCAACATTTACACCCAGTCACTACTGGCCGGCTGAGCCACTTTTCAAAACACCCTTGTACAGCTGTGCAGAGCGGCTGGCCCCACCGGCAGCCGGCAGAGCCATAACTCACACTGTCACCACTCCCCTCAAACCCCTTTGGTAAGCACTTTTAATCAATGCAACAGGAATAAACATTTTCTGCATAGCGGCAATGTGCAGGGAGGAACATGGTTCCACTCAGGCTCAGAAAGCAAAACCTCCTGGCTCTTTGCATCTATGTGAAAGCTCGCGGGAAAAGCCCTCTGTGTGGCTGCCAGCCTCACGCACTCCCCTCAACGGGTGAGTTTCTCTTTCCACGTTCATCTATGCTCTGACATGCCATCTGTCAACCACCACACCACTCTCAGTTGACATTTCAAAGCATCTTTGCCCTGTGAATGGTAACCAGCCCTGCCCTGCAAGCCCCCCGGTGATATTGAACTTAAATGGGAGAGAAAACAGGCTTCAGGGTGGATTTCAGTTCAGCATCTTGGAGTCTCTGTGTGGACATGAAATCTGTCTCCCCCGCTGTGGCCTGCATCCTTGTTTGTCATCTGGTTTCGTTGTTGGGGGCTTGGAAACTCATGGGCGCCTTTGCAATTTGTGGAGAAGCTGCACGGCCCTTCCAACAAAAGCAAGCAATAGGAACAGAAGCCCAAGGCTTCAGATCAAGGTGCAACTTAAAACAGCCTCAGTGTAAAAGCAAACAGGAGTCAGAGGGAAGCCTAAGGCAGAGTCTAGCCCCCGGGGCAGCTATAAGGCAAAGAGAAAGACAAAAAAAGAGAGAGAGAGAGAGAGAGAGAGATAGGAGGAGACATGAGGCACCCAGGCCTCTGCACCAAAATCCCTAGAAGAGAGGCTTCCTAACAATGCAGGAGGCTGAGGTGGGCACACAAAGAAGTTCAAGACTAGCCTGGGCAACATAGCGAGACCCTGTCTTTACAAAAAGTACAAAAATTAGCTGGGTGTGGTGGTGCATGCCTGTGGTCCCAGCTACCCAGGAGGCTGAGGTGGGAGGATGGCTTGAACCCAGGAGGTAGAGGCTGCAGTGAGCTGAGATAGCACCACTGCACTCTAGCGTGGGCAACAGAACGAGACTTCATCTCAAAAAAACTTTTTTAAATTTTGGAAAAGGATCACCCTGCCTACTTGAATGGATGATAAGAAGGTAAGAGCAGAAGCAAGGAGACCAGCAGGGAGATTCTGCTGGTGGGAGTCCACAGTGGCTCAGACCAGGCTGGCGCTGAAGACCGGCTGGATTCTATATATATTTTGACAAGGTAGTAACTCACTGACTCTTAAAGAGTGGGCTTTAGGAGACTGTATTTTTTACAACCTCTCAGAGGATTCCAATGCAGTCTGAAGTTGAAGAACTCCTGATTCAGGTGAAGCTCCTGTTTCATCCTTGGGGAAGTACCTACTGACTTTTCTCCAAGTCGCCTCAAAAGAGGTGCTAGACAAGATGTGCTCCAACGTCTGAACATGTGTGCACAGCTCTAGAGCAGACCTCAGGACACTGAGTCAAAGGTTAGGGGCAGGGAGTACAACAGTGAACAACCACCATCCTCTTTTCAATGAGCTTTGGACTTGATGAGGGAAATAAAAAGAAAAAAAAAATCATTTTCAACTCAAAATGGTAAGAGTTATGGTGACAGTATGCCTGGGGCAGTGGGAGCACATAGAAGGGGCGCGCAATTGGCCAGGTGTGGTGGCTCACGCCTGTAATCCCAGCACTTTGGGACGCCAAGGTGGGTGGATCTCTTGAGGCCAGGAGTTCAAAACCAGCCTGGCCAACATGGTGAAATCCTGCCTTTACTAAAAATACAAAAAAATTAGCCGGGCATGGTAGTGGGCGCCTGTAATTCCAGCTACTCGGAAGGCTGAGGTGGGAGAATTTCTTGAACCCAGGAAGGGGAGATTGCAGTGAACCTAGATAGCGCCACTGCACTCCAGCCTGGGTGGTCAGAGTGAAACTCCATCTCAAAAAAAAAAAAAAAAGCCGGAGGGTGGGTGGGCATCCAATCTATTTCAGGTGGTCAGAAATACTTCCCCATCAGAGGACTCCTAAGTTGAAGACTAGAAAATGGTAGGAATTAGCCAGGTCATTAGGAGAGGTGTGGAAGATCATTCCCAACAGAGGGAAGAGCATGTGCAAAAATCGAAAAGTGAGAGGGTGAGGAGCTGAGAGATGTTCATATAATTGTAAAAAGTGACTAATGTAGAGGTAAGTTGGAGCCAAATCTTAAAGGCTCTTTGTCATGTTTATCCTGAAGACAAAGGGAGACAGTAGATGTTTTTAGGCGGGGGAGTAATGATCCACTTTGTGCTATAAAAAGAGC